CCCCAAAACCCCAAAACCCCAAAACCCCAATAAGGTAGGCCTCGATGGAATGAGATAATAAAGATTAACTGAAGATTATAACTAGAACTTAATTTCCTGTCTTTTAGTCTGCATCTTTGAGTTCTTAGACTTTTTCCTGGCCTCTTCGAAGAGTTTGGCAATGTTGTGGCCTATAGATCATGAAGAGGACTTACTGTCGTCAGTGGTGATGATCTTGATGCTTGAAAGATCAGAGTTTACTCTGTGCGTATTGTAGGTGTTCCCCATTCGTTGTTCTAGAATAGTCCAGAGAATACTTACGCGAAACCTCCTGGATTGGCTGCACTCTGCTCGTGGTTGTTCCAGATTTCTTCTTGGCTCATTTCTGGCATAATGAAACTAACAAAGCACCTATAGGGCCTGAGCTGGAAAGCTTACCGATCATTATGAAAGTGATGACCAATGAGTTTGCAAGGATTATGTAGCAGAATATGTTTGTAACTGTACTTGACCATTCATCAACTTTATCACAGATAATCATTATCGATAGCAGAGTGGTGTAGATTATTTCGTTGACGATTTCGATCAGGTTGTTCTCTGGCCGATCGAAGGGTCTTAGAGTGACGAGGCTCAGTACAAAGAATATCTGAACGACCATCATACCAGCAGTCAAATACACACACTCGAGCCATGTGAATGTAAGTAGCCATATCACGAACATGGTTCTTCTCATTAAGCCCAAGAAAGGATAGATCCTTGCATATCTGGTGTTCTTGAGTCCAGTGATGAACTCATTGAGCTTATAGTACTTATCAGGATCGTGGAAGTCCCTCTTTGAGTAGAAGATATAGAAAGAAAGAGCAATTGTTCCAACTCAGACAGTTAGTATCAATACTGAAAACATCATCGAGATGATGTTGGGAATGGTTTCAAGGTCAAACTTAATAACTTCTGATATACAGCAAATGAGCAACAGCTGGAACCCTCCAAGTACTAGTCTGATGTAGATTGTGAAGTTGAACAAGTCAATTATCAAAATCATCAGGTAATTCACACTGCATTTATTCTCGTTTTCATAGTTCACTCAGAGCTTCAATGTCATCACTAAAGGATACAGAGCCAGCATCAAGAGCATACACAATGCAAATCCAAAATTGTTGAGCAGACTTGTGCTTGACTCCACACCAATGGTTTCAAGGTAGGAATTGTCTTGATCGATCTTGAGCCAGTCCATGACTTCAGGCATCTTCGGTAAGGCTCTGACTGGCAATAAATCCAGATTAAACTGCATGAGTTCATTTCCAAGAATCAAAGCTTTGACATCACCTGGAAATGGTGTTTTGGTTAGCAGCAACAACAAAAATAACTGTAGTTGGTTTACAATGGACCAGATCGCTGCCAGAGATGACAAATTAAGTAACGACACCCCAACTGTTGCACCAGCACTGACTCCTGAGACTGCCTGTGACCCAGATGACATTTGCTGGGCGCTTTCTGAGACTTCGAAGATTGAGTATGAGTATCAAGTAGTAGGGTTTTTGAGCTCGTAGAGGTCTTCACATGTCTGTCATTTGTCGTAATCAGATGGATCTCATTCTTTGCAGTGCTCAATTACGCACACCCTTCACACACTTGGGCCTACACAATATGGTATTTATTTGAATTGTTGTAGAATTTTACCTGTAGGAGTCTGGTCTACACACATAGACTTGTCTTCAATAGTTCAGTTGGAACTACATCCATCTCCACTAAACTATGAGCTGGCACTTACTCTGCAACATTGCTATCATCTCAAGCCTCTAATTCGAGTTTGAGTCCGTCTCCACAAATAGGTCCTCAGATACTTGTAGCAAGGCTGATTGAAGTGCAAGTATAGCCTGTTTCTACAGAGCAATTGCTATTACATCCATCTCCATCATCAAGATTACCGTCATCACAGTAAGTACTGAGTTCATCGCTCGCACGTAAGATGCCATTTCCACAATTTCTTGAGCACTGACTTATTGTTCCTTGGACAGTTCAGTTGAAATCTGTTTCAATTGTTCAGTCTGCAGCTCAACCATCGTCTACAATCAAATTTCCATCGTCACATTGCTCTGGGCTAATCTGTATACCGTCTCCACAAATAGGTTCTCAGACACTTGTGCCAAGGTTGATTGAAGTGCAATTATAACCTGTTTCTACAGCACAGTTGCTATCACATCCATCACCATCAGCTTGGTCACCGTCATCACAGTAAGTAGTGAGGTTATCACTTGCAAGCAAGATGCCATTTCCACATATTCTTGAACACTGAATTGATGCTCCTTGGCCAGTTCAAGTAAGATCTGTTTCAAAGGTTCAATTAGCAGCTCAGCCATCACCTGCGATTAAGTTTCCATCATCACATTGTTCTGAGCCAGTCTTTATACCGTCTCCACAGTAAATTTCTCAGGTTTGGTTATCCATTCCATAACACTGATAACCTGATTCGATTGCTCAATTCTGATCACAGCCGTCCCCATCATCTTTATTTCCATCATCTCATTCCTCTTGAGGAGAGTAGAGTCCATCTCCACAGACAGCGTCAATCAAAGAACCATGATCATCCTTACTCCAACTAGAATCATACTTTATGAAACAGTTTTCATCGCATTGGAAATTATAAATATTCACACTATTATCCCCGTCGTTGTTTCCATCATCGCACTCCTCAAGAGCTTGGGTGTGTCTAGTTCCATCCCCTCATCTGAACCCATAAGCTAAAGTTAATAGATGAGCAGACTTACGGTTGTATATTTGTGGGGTGGTCTCCAGTGTGTAATCCACAGTATTACTTATCTTAAAACTGTGGATAATGAACTCGATTGACCAACAATGAAAATTTCATCCTACGTAACTAGGGTGATTATAATTTAGTGAACTATTGTTGTTGTCAAAGTTATGGCCATTAAGGAACTGGTATTGGCGACTTCTGAGCTGTCCAGCATCCATTGTCATTGAGATTCTGTTCCAACCTCCTAAATTGTGGGTATTAGCAGCTCTTTACTTTTGGTATTTGTGGTAATGCGTCTAACACTGCTTCCAAAGCGAGTAAACATCTTTTTGCCAGAGTCTATATCGATTTGATAAGGTAAATCAAAGTTTCATGTAGATAATTTAAGCTGAATCTAGTTAAATGTATAATGATTAAAAATTGACTTAAAATATTTGAAAATAGTGGATTTCAACAGTTACTGCAAAGCTAGCTAGTCTCAGTTTTATGCTAGTAATTCAAATATAAAAATATTAACTCTTTCTTCTCCTCATTAGTATGAGCATGAAAATATAGTAGTTCTTGAGAACAGCACTTAATCAGTTTCAAGTTCAATGACACAAAAGACCGTATATTTCATGATTAGTAATTTTTTAGAGTTTTCAAATTATTTCTTTTCTTTAGAATCATAATTTCGGGATTACCCAGTTATAGCTTTTAATAATCTATAGTCCTAATCCAACAATATTCACTTTAGTCAAAATTTCTCCTGAATTCAAAAATTGTTGCGAAACGTTCTAGTTCTTTAGTGAATTAGAGAAGTTACTTACTAATTACATATTTAGGGTAAGCTAGAGTCTATTTGAAGACAAATTCGAAGATCCTCACTCAAGAAAATTAATTAGGAGTGCTCCATAATCTTCTTGAAAACAGAGGTATGATGAATTTAATATTCAGCTCTACAAGCAATTTTTTGAGGTTCTGAGCTTTCATATCAATTTTAGTTAAAATATTCAATTGGTTCTAAAGATTTCATAACCAATCTAAGTGTATATCTACATCATTCACGAGGATTCCAGCCCATTCGCGATCGTTTTGCATAAAAATTGCTCAACAAATACAGTAATGACCTTGATTTTCAATCAATAGGGAGTATTTAAAGTCAAAATTTTGATCCAACCAAAAGCCTGAAGGCATAACTTCTCTAGCTAGGACCTCTTTTAAATATATACGACTTATCATATTTATTAAAATCGCACAAAAAATCTAATCTTTTATCTCAAAATAAAATTTCTCCTCTATCTCTTCTCATAGTCTAAAATTTTCTAGCTGTAATGGCTTAGTATTAGTTCTCAATAATCCATAAGTACTTACAATTCCTGAACATAAATCTAGCATTCTGTACAACCGGACTTCCACCTGTCTATAATTCACCCCAGAAACTTACCACAATCTGTGTAACATCCATATTAACAAAAGTGCCTTGGTTTAGCTTTCTAATGAAGATCCATGCCTCCATAGAGCAGAAGTTACCATATTCGAATAATGGTTCAGAAATATTCAAGTATCTAAAGGGGTCAGAGGAGTAGCTTACTTTCCTTGTTGAGTAAAATGCACTCCTTGTTCAATTATCTTTGGGCGAGTTGAGAAGTTTGCTAGAGAGAAATGTTAGAAATTTATCTCTTTGCAAGAGGAAATAGAGAGAATGAGGCTTGGTGAAGAACAGAATGAAAATTTTTGCTATTCATTCTCAAGACTCATTGAGAAAAATTTTAGCTAATAAATCAAGACAGACTATAAGGAAGATAATTATATTAATACCAGAGCCACTCTGATCAGAGAGTAAGCGAAATCGCATTTTTAATCGATATTTTTCAAGATACCCTCAAATAACATACTTCCACAATCATAACCCCTAAACACTACATATCACAGCTAATCTATCTCTAAACCTCCCGTTCCACCCTCCTCTAAGCCCCTATCCCTCTCCTACCCTTCCTTTACTCACCACCGGGCTCCCCTCCCCCTCCCACTCCAAACACTTGGCTCGAAGCCAGATCTCCCCTAACAAAAAATCCAAAATTTCAGCTCCACTAAAACCAAGTCTTCACCGTTAAAAATGTAGCCTTAAGCCGCAGAGGAGACCTACAGGCCCAAAATTGAGAAATAGAAGAGAGGATCCAGAAAATTTAGCCTAGACTTACATAAGAAATCAAACGTGAACACTCCTGTTTCACCTTCCTGGTTCTGGACCTTAGTTGCAGACTTACTACCAGGTTAGACACAGGCTTACGGTAGGTTAGAGAATTGGTAGGTTAGGGTCCTGTTTAGTTATGGGCTGGGTACTTACTTGGCCTGAAAGCAGAAACATTCATGGAGCAGCCAGATCATAATTGCGAGATAGTAAAGGGATGGTTTTACCGTCATCTATATCTTTGTTATTTATGGTCCAATACTATCTCTGAAAAAATAACTTAATGTAGTCCTAAACAAATTTATAGCTCAGCTTAGGCTCTGTGCTTTATTAGAAGTCTTTAACACTCAGATTTAACTCTTTTGAAAGTAAATAAAGAGATACTAATAATATGCAGGATTCCATCAATTTCTTGGCTAACCCCAAATTGAATGACAGTTAAGATCCTCCGATAAAATTTCTTTCTTCTAAAAATTAAAGGGATGTCAGAGATTAATAATGGTTGGTCCTCTTACCCATAAAATATCAAAAATTAGAAGTGCTCCTCTCCTTGTCTGAGAACTCTAGCTAAAATTAACTGTAGAATATAAGCTACGATTCAAAATGGATGAGTCTCCTAGCTAACAGCCAAAACTTCATTGGCTTTGCTAAGCCTCCACAAATTTGGCTGCCTATTTTATTTAAGTATCCTCTTCGCTGATACACAAATATAAATCTAAGGCCATCAGTTGGGAAGGATGCTTTATTCCTCTATTAAAGAAAATTAGCTATAGATGCGAGTAATGGAGCTTTTAGTCCTTTCAGAAGCTAGGAAATATCCAACCACATGAGTCTCAGAATGAATGTAAGCCTAACTTTGAAAAAGACAGGAGCTTAAAGTTCACTTTTTTGGAGTCTGAGGCTGAATAGTTAATCTATCCTAGCCTATCAAGATTCGAAAGAAAATATCTGATGAGAGCCTTGCTTGCGGAGAACTTTATTGCTATATATAGTTTAGACCTCACATCTGAATGCTTAGTCTGAGTAGGGTTCTCCTTGATGTTGATGCTTCTAATCTATTTTTAGACAATAGAAAACACTCAGAAAGTTTAAGAATTCTCATCGTTTCTTATAGAAAAAGTATTTTCAGGCCTCCTCAGCTATTCAAAAGGCAACAAATATAGTAATTATTCTCTCTCTTAATGAGCGTGGATCTTCAATAAAAAATAAATAGCAAAGTTGTAAATTTTATTAGTTACCCAATTAAGAATTCTTAAAAAATCTTTGCAATGAATGGAAGACTAGGCCGGTAACCTATCACTTCCTTTCTTAGTCACCTTTTTCATAAATTAGTAAGACCACTATCTATGCCTTCATTAGAGTTTCAGCAGCTCTTGGCTAAGGTAGTCTCGAATGTTGATATAATCTCCAATAAAACAGACAAAATTTCAATGGGGCAAAAATTTATGTTAATAATTTTGACAAATCTTCTCAAGCCAAAAGATAACTTAATTAAAACCTTTTAAAACAAATCAAAATAGCTGATGGGATTACTCCCAGCACGAAATCAGCCAAATTCTTCATTTTTTAGCTAAATCTTAACTAACCAAGCCAGAGCTAGTCTCTGCTTTCTAAACACAAACCGGATTTCATATTTACCTTCTTTTTTATTATTTCTATGCTTAAGAATAGGAACGGGGTTTTGGGGTTTTGGGGTTTTGGGG